AGTGTTTTAATTTGCATCTCTTGAATGACCAGTGATGTTGAACATTTTTTCATATATTTATTTGCCATTTGTACTTCTTCATCTGAAAAGTGAGTGTAAAAGCCATCCTGTTCACGCCAACATTTGTTATTATTTGATTTCTTGATAATAGCCATTCTTTCTGGAGTAAGATAGAATATCAGTGTTTTAATTTGCATCTCTTGAATGACCAGTGATGTTGAACATTTTTTCATATATTTATTTGCCATTTGTACTTCTTCATCTGAAAAGTGAGTATTCATTTCAGATGTCTATTTTTGGCTTGGGTCTTTAAATTGGGGGGGGTCTGATTTTTTTTCAATTCTTTATATGTTCTAGATATTAGTCCTTTGTCTGAGGAACAATGGGCTAAAATTTTTGCCCATTTTGTGGGCTGTCTTTTCACTCAGTTGGTGATTACTTTTGCTGTCCAAAGGCTTTTTAATAAGATCAGATCTTAGTTGTTAACTTGAGATCAGATTTGCCTCAGAGAAAAAAATGAGTTATGCTTGCCCTTTACCTCTGATCACTTTTCTTCTAAGTGCTATTCAGGAAAGGCCCAGGATATGAGGAGTTCATGGCCAAGGGGCTGTTGCTATTGCTATGCATTCATCCATTCATTATGCAGAAGATGTCACCTGGTTTCAACATAAATGCAGGACACTGATGCCCTCTTCTTCCTTTTATAGATCATTCATCATGGTGAACGCTGGCTGCTGGCTACTGGTTCTTTTTGTGGCTACATGGAGTGACATTGGCCTCTGCAAGAAGCGACCAAAACCAGGAGGAGGATGGAACAGCGGGGGCAGCCGTTACCCATCTCACAGCGGGGGCAACTGGGGCCAGCCCCATGGCGGTGGCTGGGGACAGCCCCATGGTGGTAGTTGGGGCCAGCCCCATGGTGGAGGCTGGGGACAGCCCCATGGTGGTGGCTGGGGTCATGGAGGTGGCACCTACAATCAGTGGAACAAACCCAGTAAGCCCAAAACCAACATGAAGCATATGGCAGGCGCTGCAGCGGCGGGGGCAGTGGTGGGAGGTCTGACTGGCTACATGCTGGGGAGTGCCATGAGCAGGCCCCTCATCCATTTCGGCAGTGATTATGAGGACCGTTACTACCGTGAGAACATGTACCGTTACCCCAACCAAGTGTACTACAGGCCCGTGGATCAGTACAACAACCAGAACAGCTTTGTGCAGGACTGCGTCAATATCACGATCAAGCAGCACACAGTCACCACCACCACCAAAGGGGAGAACTTCACCGAGACCGACGTGAAGATAATGGAGCGCGTACTGGAGCAGATGTGCACCACGCAGTACCAGAAGGAGTCCCAGGCCTACTACTACCGCGGAAGAGCCGGCTTGGTGCTCTTCTCCTCCCCACCTGTGATCCTCCTCATCTCCTTCCTCATCTTCCTGATAGTGGGATGAGGAAGATCTTCCTATTTGCACTGGCATCCTCATCTTGGTCCAGGTTGGGGGAGGGGTATACACCTGCAGCCCTTTTAGTGGTGGCATCTCATTCTTACTTCTCTCTTTGTCCCCCATAGGCTAATAACCTTGGCACCAATGGGCACTGGAAAATGTAGAGTAGACCCAGATGCTATCTATTCAAGGCCCCTTTGAGTCCTTCATGGGCCAATGTCAGGCCAGTAAGAGTATAACAAAATAATCATCAGTTAATCTAGGCTTGTTTTTGATGTAGTACAACAGGTTGAGGCCGAAACAGATCTCAAAACAGTTGTCAGTTACCTTTGCCTGAACCTCTGTGGTTTCATAAGCAGCCAGAGCTCAGGACATGAATATTCCAGCTTAGCAGTGATTTTATAGCAGTTTGGAAATTTTTTCTCTTCCCTTTTAAGAAAACATGACAGCATTTCTGCCAAATTTGGAAAAAGGCCACGTGATACTATTCAAAAAACAGAAAAGCAAACAATAGAAATCCTTCACCCTCTGGCCACAAGTTCAGCCTGCTAGAGTGTGTGCCCTGTGTCCACAGAAAGCCTTTTGAAATAGGGGCTGCACAGCAGTTGCTGCATCAGGAGGAAAATACTGGTGCAACCCTAGGCCTCCAGGCAGAGGACACATTCACAGAAGGTGAGCATGACTGCAGCACAGACTGAAGTCTTCTGGGACTGAAAACTCAAGCATTTGCAAACATTGCCCTTGCAGACAGCCTCCCATTTGGGATGTGTAAAACATCCACACATGGCACCCTTTCTTTAGAAACATGAACTACAGGTAACACAGAAATTAAATTACCTTCTAAACACTCAAAGCAAATCTCCTTTGTTCATTTACTGGAAACTAGAATGATTTTAACCTTGTTTGAGTGGGACCAGCCGATTGTGACTCCAAGGAAAGCGGCAGTTGCAAAGCATGGTCCTCTGGAGGGTTATGTAATGAAGAGGTAGTTAATGTGCAGACAAAAAAGTTTCTTCATTTCTGTCTCAAAATTAGGTTGAGTCCTTCATTTCTGTAATTTGCTTTTAAATCAAAGAACAAGGAGACAATCTAAAAAATAAGTTGCAGATGACAGAAATATCCATTCCAAGTAGAAGAAATTCTATTACTGTTATCAAAATAAGGTCAATTCTTCACTAAATTGTTCAATACTGTCACCTAGCAAATGTCTTACTATACTGCAATGTTATTGGCTTGCACTATGTGGGTATTCTATGTAAGATATATATAAAATACATATATTGCATATGGCAAACTTAGAAGTTTTGTTTAGAGCAGTAACATCTGAAATGTCTAATGCATTAGCCGTTTCATAAGGCATTAAATAAACCTAAAAAGTGGGAACCTTTTTGCGTGGCCCTTAGGCTTACAATGTGCACTGAATAGTTTTGTATAAGAATCCAAAGTGGATACTAACTGGTCTTTGAAATATGCATGTACTTTATATTTTCTATATTTGTAACTTTGCATGTACTTGTTTTGTTGTATAAGAAGTTTGTAAGTGTTTATTATCTGACTGAAATTAAACTGAGCTAAAATGAGCACAGCCCTCGAGTGTAGTTGCTTCACCAATGCCCAGCCTTTGTAGGCAGAATGGGTAGCACCTTCAGGCCTCACTCCTCAGCTGCCTGGTCATGTCCTGTGCCTGCCCTGATCCTGCCCTCATTCTTACTTCCAGCCACCCACGGACCAGTTCAGCTCTGCTCCTTTTCCACAAATATCTCAGTGTGCTCAGCCCTGGGTAAAATGCAAAGGCCCCGTGAGGCAGGAAAATGGAGTCCTCACACTCTGGGAGCATTTTTATGTCCTGGGTTTAGAAATAGATATTTTTTTTTGGTAGTGTTGGTGGTGGAACCCAAGGCCTAATGCATGCCAGGCAAGTGCTCTACCACTGAGAAACAAATAGACTTTCTTGGTTAAAATGAAACTTGGGCTCTGAAGTACATACCTAACACAGCCCGTAAAATATTCTCAGATCCTGAGACCAAATGACAATCACTCTTCTCACCTGTGGACCAAAAGTTTACTGATTTGTCAGTCTTTTTGCTCATACTACACAGGTTTCACTTTTATTCCTCCACCTGTGCTGTGGTGCTCTTGGTTATCCTTGGCAGTGGATTTCTTTAGCAACTGTAATTTCCTAGATGCAGGAAGTAAACACACAAAGTGACAGTGGTTGAAATGTTATCAATAGGGGAGCAAGTTCATCTGGAAGTCACACTCTGAGAGGCCTACAGATCAAGGGATTTATGATCCAGGTCCGAGGAGGGGCATCACATGTGGCACAGGGACCACGTAGGAGAAGGTCTCAAGGCGCAACTCAACCAAGCAGCTCAGAAAGGGAAGGTGTGGGCAGTGCCCGTACTGGAGATCAGGGGATTTCACTGGTACCTTTGAATGTCACCAGGTCAGAGTCGGGAGGATAAGGGCAACTTCGGCAGGTGCAGTCTTACCACACTGGTGCACCCATTGAGACATCTGAAAAATAACTTTTAAGAAGTGTACTATGTAGTTTCAATATCCTACAGTGATCAGAGGATCGACTTTGTGTTAGGACAGAAAGGTGAGCCATCTTGAGATTCCCCTCACTCAAAAAGCTACTAAATAAAATAACACAAAATCTCAAATGCATGACTCACAAATGGATCTCAAAGTCGATCCTTAACAAAAATTTCTAGAGCTGTTTTCACTCTTTTTTGCCATTTTCCTAATTATTTAAAGGTAAACTGTTCATTATCTGACAAACTTAATTTCTCCAAAACTGCCCACTGAGGGTTGGGCTGTAGCTCAGTGGTAGAGCATCTGCCTAACATGTGCAAGACCCTGGACTCAAACCCCAGCGCGTGCATACACACAGCTAAGAAGACAAATCATTCAATGCATCAGTATCTACAGGGCCAGAGTGAATGATCCACCTCTGTATCTTCCTCAGGCCCCCATGTTTCCCTTTCACCTCCAATCCCTGTCAGTTGTGCAAAAGGAATGTTTTATTAAAAGAGAAGAAAAAATAAATTTTAAAATGACCCCCATAAGGTAAGTAACCCCAAGAGCAGATTCTTCAGGAGAACTGCCAGGGGATGCCTTTGTTTCCCCTTCCCTAAGGATAAGAACAAAGAAGTATCCACTACCCTTGATTTAACAAGCATCCCCAGAGCTTCAGAGTCCCAAGTACTGTCATTAGGCCCAAGAATTTGCGTTTCAAACAAATTTCCAGGTGATGCTGCTGGGGTGGACCTGACATATGGAAACTCACTGCTATACAGAAAGATGCATCAGAAACAGAAGGCTGCCCAGCCCTGAAATACACACAGAGCTGTGTAGATGCCAAATCCCTGCTTGTGAACAAGAAGCTGGAAATTCTCCCTGCAAGGGGGAGACACCCAGATCCCACCATCGCCTTCCTGAACCACATTGCAGGGGCCCAGTCAGAATTCAGGCCTGTGTTCTTTATCTGCCTGTCCTCCCCTGGGTGGACCACACCATGGGTGTACACACCTCAAGGTCCTCGAGGCAGCCGAGGTATGTCTGTTTGAGGCAGGGATCTTCAGAGAGAGCTTGGACACATGGACCAAGGGTCCATAGCCATGAACTCACAGCCCCCCACAGGGCAGGATGGATCTAGGTGAGACAAGAAACAGGTGGGACAGGCTGGGGCCTCCCTTTGGGCTCTTCCTCCAGGCCTTGCAAATCCTACAGGCAGTCCTGCCCCAATGCTTCTGGGGAAAGAAGTAAAGGATTTTATAATAAAGTCACTACTTTTTACAAACATTTCCCAGTCATAAAGTTGTTTTTAAGTTCTCCACAAAGCCGGAAATGGTCATGTTAGGTTCTGGGCTTGGTTTTCTTGGCACCTCCCAGGCAATTCACCAACCTGGACAGTTGCTCCTCACCTTCTCCCCTGGGCCCCCACCCAATAGTCCACTTACACCCAAATTTCCAAGCACCTTCGTGGTGACCCTCTAGAAATGACCAGAGCTACAGAAAGTTCTGGAAGCAGGTGCTCAACTTTGTAGGATTCCACCAGTTAGGTGACAACAGCATTCTTGCTTTTACCAGGGCATTTACTAACACTTGCTGACACCAAAACCACTGGTGGTCCATCAGTACAATTTAAAAAATTATAGTAAGTCACAATTTAAACTTAAAAAAATAGTGTTTTCATACAATAGCATGCTGCACAGCAACTAGAAATTGTGCTTTAAAAGAATTTTTCATTACTGGCCGGGGATTTAGCTTAGTGGTTCCAGCACCTGCCTCAAAAGCGTGAGGACCTGAGTTCGATCCTCAGTACCAAAAAATGAACTTTTTATTACTAAAAGCATGCATAATTAAATTTAAGTGAAAATCAGAGTATAAGTCTTACAAGAGTAGTATAAGTATTTTTTATTTTTAAAAAAAGAAGCAAAAATAAAAGTAAACAAATCTCAGAAGTATATAGGCCTTAATGTTAACAGTGGTTATTGCTGAGTAGTGGATAACATGTGATTTTTATTTCCTTCTGTATTGTTTTATATTTTTCAGAAATAAAATCACAACCCGACATGGTGATGCACACCTGTAATACCAACTCTCAGGAGCCTGAGGCAAAAGGATCACTGTGAGTTCAAGGCCAGCCTGGGCTACCTAGTGAGCTCAAGACCAGCCTAAACTACGTAGTGAGAGCCTGTGTAATAAATAAATAAATAAATAAATATAAATTCACAGTGTGATTAATTTTATGTATCCACCTGACTGTATCAAGGGGTGCCCAGACTGAATGATTCTGGGTGTGTCTGGGTGACATCACCTATGAATCAATAGACTGAATAAGCAGATGGCCCTCACCAGTGTGTGTAGCCAGAATTCAATCCCATGCAGGCCTCAACAGAACAGAAAGGGCGGGGCGGCAGGGATCCACACCTTCCTGCTTCCTTCCTGGCTGCTTCCGCTGGGACATCAATCTCCTCCTGCCAGGGGACAGAGATTTACAGCATGAGTGCTCTTGGTTCTCTGGCCTTTGAACTCTTTGGACTTGGCCCAGAACTACACCCCTGACTTTCTGGGTTCTCTAGCTTGAAGACAGCAAGTCGTGGTATGGGATTCTCAGCCTCCGTAACTGCAGGAGCCAATCCCTCATGATAAATCCCTTCCTGTGTGTCTGGACGTCCTATTGGTTCTGTTTCTCTGGAGAACCCTAATACATATAGGTGATCAAATGATGCTTTTAAAAAGACCAGTTACTATTATTTTTAATTCCTCTCGTGGCATACACCGTCCTGACCCAGATACCTCAGGGATCCTGTCTCTGCTCTTTCTCAGACAGAAATACCACTGTTGAGAGGGAACTATGTGCCACCTCCATGCCCAATACTTGCCATACATGGTCTTACCAAATCTTCATCCTGGTGATCTCCAATCCAGGAAGCTGGCATCCAAGGACATTCACTTCATCACTTGCCCAAGACACACAGTTAGCACGCTCTCCCAAAACACATTATGGAAATACTTTGCTATTGTTTGTGCTGATCCTGAAGAGTAGCATGGAGGGCTTCCCTCTGTGCATGTCTATGTTCTAATTTCTTATAAGGACAGACACCTGTATGACCTCATGTTACCTTTATCGATACCCTAATGAGATAGGACAAAGAAATGAAGATAGATAGAAAGGTGACAAGGAAAATCACAATTTAAAAATCGTACTTTTAAGAAGACTGCAGCAGGCCAGGGATTTAGCTCAGTGGTTCCACCACCTGCCTCACAAGCGCAAGGTCCCAAGTTCAACCCCCGGTACCGAAAAAAAAAAGACTGCAGTTTCAGGAGGTAAAATTACCCAATATTGATACTGTATTCCCTAGGTTTATGATTCTTTCCTTCAAGGCCTGTCACACCCCAAATCCCCTAAAGATAGTATAAAATTGGCTTAATTGATAAAATAAGGGCAGGAGCCTGATTTTTAAAGTAAAGGAACAGATTAATAGTTCAAAGAACAAATTTAGGCATCTAAAATCTTGAATCATCCATCTTTAAAAAAACAAAAAACTAGGCCCATGCCTTCTACCTGTAAAATGGGCCATTATCTCTCTGTGGGTGGCCCATTCTCTTCTCCTATAAACCAAGATGAAACTTCCCATAGATTCACAAATTCCATAGGTTTCCACCCCTCAAAACATAAATATTCCCAGGTCCACAAAATAATGCATCTGATTCCCTGAACACTCACATTCCCTTCTGAGTGTGAACTTTTTTTCTTCTAAATAAATCCTTCCCATGCCTCTTACTGACTAGTCCTGAAAATTCTTTTTCTGGAATGGGAGTCAATAAACATTTTTTGGGGTAGAGCAAATTGAGGTTCTTTGCCTCCTTTGGGAACCTCTCTGGACCCTGTTTGGTGACACAAAGATCCTATCTCCAATTACAGTCACATACTCAGGTATTGAGGGTTAGGACTTCCGCATAGGAATTTTGTGGGTACACAATTCAACCCGCTGCATCATCTTTCTAGAAATATCCTAATGGTGTATTTGTGTCCCAAGACCATGAGGGCCTTTTGGGGACCCCAATC